AAACGCCCTGTATCTTGTTTGGAGTGGTGGTCACACTGGTGTATACGATTGTCAAAACCACTGAACAGAAGATTTACGGTCTGTGCAATTTAGTGTATCTTAATTATACCTTGGTAAAACACAATTATGTCATGAAAAGGGAGAGACTGAAAACACCACGTGAGAAAAGCCATTTTCTAGTCCACACCTCATACCCATGCCCCCAGTTCCTGCAAAACGAGCAAAGTGAATTTATACTCTGTGCTCTGAGCGGGCAGGGCCCGGGGGGAAATTGCTTTAGGTGTTTCCTGAAATGTGATGCACAGAGAGGCCCCTTTGCAGGGCAAGGAGAAAACCCAAGGAAAGTTCTCACGGGAGAAGGCATCTGCCCCTGGGGACACATCCACTCTGTCTCATGGCTGCCTCTCTCTCCTGCTGGGCAGCCTGGGGACACTGTTTTCACACTTTCATTTTTTTCAACAAACATTCTAGAGACAGTTGCTATGTGCCAGGCCCTGGCTAACGCCCACTGGTCCCTAACCTTACCTAAGAGAGGTTGATAAGTAAATTGGGTGTCAGTGCACAGAGAGGGGACCCTATACCCTGTGGGGTGAGGGCAAGCTTCGTCCTCGAGGGGCCATCTAAGCTGGGGCCTTGGATAAGGAGGGGTTAACTAAGCAACTGAAGGATGCGGGAACCCCACCTCCCAGCAGTAGGTCTCTAACTTTGCCGCATGTCAGAATCACTAGGCATCTCTGAAAGTCTCCGGGTTCAGGGCTCAACGCAGACCAACTGAATCAGAGTTTCTGGGGTGGGATTCAGGCATCCTATTTTTTCTTAGAAGCCCCAGGTGATTCCAACATGCAGCTAAGATTGCTCTGGATGGAGGTGACAGCATAGGCAGAAGCCTAGGAGCCAGAGGAGGATGCCCGTGCATTTGGGAATTGCAGAGCAGAGAGAAGAGTGAAGCCGAGAAATGCAGCTGAGGAGGTGTCGTGGGTTGAACTGAGCCGCCATCAAGACTTCCTGCCCACCCAGAACCTCAGAATGTGACCTCATTTGGAAACAGGGTCTTCAATGATGTGAATAAGGATGAAGATGAAATCATCCTGGATTGCGGGGTCCTAAACCCCATGAGAGTGTCCTTAGGAGAGAGAAAAAAGGGCACACAGAGAAGGCCATGTGAAGATGGAGGTAGAGATTGGAGTGATGTGTCTACAAGCCAAGGAACGCTGGTGATCGCCGGCCACGACCGGAGGAGAGGGGCCTGGAACAGGCTCTCCCTCCCTCAGAGCCTCCAAGAAGGAACCAGTCCTGATGACACCTTGATTTAGGGCTTCTGGCTTTCAGATCTGTGGGAGAAGCAATTTCTGTGGCTGGAAGGCTCCCAGGTGGTGGTAATTGTCTTCGCCAGCCCTGGGAACTCGCACAAGAGGGAAGCAAGGGTTCCACCAGCACAAGGGAACTTGGAGTTGAAGCTGAGAGCTCTCAGGAACCCAGGGGGTAAGGCGAACTGTCCCATTCCAAGGGTCCCAGATGAGGAAAGGCTGCCCACAGCTGGGACCGTGTGCAGGGTCTCTGTTGGGCAAGACAAGGGTGTTGCCTCCTGACCTCTTCCACGTTCTCCTCCAGGTGGGAGGAGGGTGGGGCAGCCTCCAGAGCTTGGGAGACACAGAAGGTTCGAAAGAGTCTCTGCTGAGAATAGGGGAGGGAACTCAAAGGACCTCCCTGGCAACACTGAAGATCCGCTGGAAACAGAAAATAGAAACATGGGGTGTCCCTCTGTGCACAGGTGAGATGTGCCCTTGGGCACACAGGCCTATAATAAATAGAAGAGATCTGCCTTTCTAGCAAGTAACTCCACTTTCCAAAGAGTGGCCTCCAGTAGCTTGTTGCAGACTTTTCTACTAGATTCTGAGAACTCAACCTTGATCCCTGAGACATCACGTAAAAGACATCTCCAAAGTAAATAAGGCAGCCTTGCAAATAAGCACCAGCCCACTGAGTGTTTTTCTTACCAACCTACCTTCCCCAAGGGGTGGACATGAAGTCAATTAGTCAACACATATTTACTGTACACATACTGTGTTGATACATGTCACAGACTAATTTGTCAACAAATGCTGAATATCTCCGTAAGGATCAAACAGTCATTCAATTAGTCCATAAATGCTGATGGAACTGCCAGACAGAACAAAGAAGGAGATAAAAATGACAGAAGGCTCTGCCTTCCCTCCGCGAGAGGGAGAGTGGCCCATCGGTAGCTCCACTTGGTATTGCCAGAGAGGCTGCTGGTGCCGAAACCAAAAGAAGCTATTTCACAGAACTAGAAAGTTGGAGACTCTGCCTCTGCTCCCTACCGAGTAAATGAGTAAATCACCTTAACAAGAAATCACCTTACCAAGAAAGTCTCAGTTTCCTTATCTGTCAAAGCACAGTAGTTCAATCGGCCAAACACGTCTTTATAAGAATAGGAAAACAAAAAACTGCTATGTTCAAAGTTCACGCAACTTTTAACACCCTGAGGATCTTGCTGGAGGTGCGTGCAACCAGTGATGACCCTTAAAGTCTCAGATTGACAGGAGATAGAATGACTTGAAGGACCCAAAGATGGAGAGAACAGGAGCTCCTATCAACGGTCCCTCCTGAGGCCTCCTGACCCCCACCTTGCTGCAAACCACAGCCCCATCCTGGAGACTGAGTCATTTGCCAGAAAGGCAAGACCTTATCTTCTCAAAATCCCCGAAATCACTGAGGAAGAGCCTGAGTTTCCTTCCCCAAATGTCTTGAGATGTTCAAAACCAAGACCAGGGTGGGGCAGTCACCACGACTAGCACTTGGGGGACAGGGGTGGGGTCTGCTGGGCAGAGGAGGGGAATTCCTCCACTGTTTCTGTGATGATGTTTTTCAAACGCTTGTTTTCCTCTGTTGTCTGCTGTTGGGTCTTTCTCCTCTAACTTCAGAGCACAAACTCACCACCACATTCAGCCTGGTCCCCCATCCTGACTCACCAGCCTGGAAGAGATCACAGGCCTCCCTCATCCTTTTCCAAAGACCAATCAAGACCAAGTTCTGGCTTCTCTACCAAAGAGGGTCCGCCCTCTCCTCTTGCTGGCTGAAGGCCAGTCTTCCTCAATGCTTTCTGCATAAAATATTCATACTTTCCCTTTCCTAATTAGTGTCTAATTAAGACTACCTCTGATGAAACCAAGCCACGTGCAGTTCTCAGCTGACCTACAAAGTATTTTGACTTTGTTGTCGCTTTTCTTAAAAATCAGGAGATTATTGGTTTATCTTAAAAACAAAATCAGGGGCTTCCCTGGTGGCGCAGTGGTTGAGAGTCCGCCTGCCGATGCAGGGGACATGGGTTCGTGCCCCGGTCCGGGAAGATCTCACATGCCGCGGAGCGGCTGGGCCCGTGAGCCATGGCCACTGAGCCTGGGCGTCCAGAGCCTGTGCTCTGCAACGGGAGAGGCCACAGCATTGAGAGGCCCGCGTACCACAAAAAAAAAAATCAGATTTGGCCACACTGAGTCGACACTCCCACATGGAAACACTGGCTGGATTTGGGTAACAGCAACCCATTTAGGTGGGGAACGTGCCACCCTGGCCCCCAGTCTCTACCACTACTACCCACCCAACCCACTCCACTCACGTCCACGACCTCCCTCGTCTCTGCAGGCAGCTGATTCTGTGACACCTAATTATGGTAAAGTGTCCAGTAAAAAGGTGGGAAAAAAACCCTGAAACATAATTGAATATGGAGCATTATTGTAAGAGCACAAAAATATTCTTAGAAGAACGAGACTTTGTAAAACTAATAAAAACAGCTTTTGTTTCTGGAACAATGCTTACTTCTTTCTTTATGCTTTTAAAAATGACTTCTCAACTCTCAAAAGCTGAGCAGACAATAAGCTTTGTCACCTCTAACTACAAAATCCAACAACAAACTTGCCCAAAGTACCTAAGAATGATCTCAAAGTGATTTCTTCTTTTGAAGCCTAATGTAGCTGGGCCAGGTCTCTGCTCAGAGACCTTCCGAACAGCAGATCTTGGCCACTCTGTACTGGATTCTGAAAATCTTCTGCATCTTTGTGTGGGTTAGCTTACACCAGACTGTAAGCTCACTGACGACAGAGAAAACATCTTGCTCATCTGCAGGCCCCCAGCACAGCACCAGACACTGAGCAGATTCTCAGTAAACGCCCAGGGATGGGCTGAGGGTGATGGGCTGTGCTGAGGGTGATGGGGACGTGTGGCTCCTGCATGCCAAAGCTCCTGCTCAAATCCCAGCCCTGCTGAGACAAGTTACACTGCCCCTCACCTCTCTCCCTCCTCTTCTCTAAAATGGGCATCATGACACCAGCCATTGCCCAGGACTGCTGTGAGTATTTAAAGAGTACTACACACTGAGCACTTAGCCTAGTGACCAGTGGAGTCACAGCGCGGTAAGCGAGAGCCACTGTGATACTATTATTATTCTACTGAAAGAAAAGAAGAGGAAAAAGGGACTTCCCTGGTGGCACAGTTGATGGGACTCCACGCTCCCAATGCAAGGGGCCCGGGTTCGATCCCTGGTCAGGGAACTAGATCCCACATGCATGCCGCAACTGGGAGTTCGCATGCCACAACTAAGGAGCCCGCCTGCCGCAACTAAGACCCACGCAACCAAACAAATAAATCTAAAAACAAAAAAAGGGGGCACTAAGTACAGTGAACTCACTCCAACTGCATCTACCCTTTTTGAGACCAGCACAACACTTATACATTTCAAATCTTCTAAACTAAGCTGTAGACTACTTATCAGCCATCATTATTTTTGACAGTAAACCCTCCACAAGTAAAGAGAAGCAGAGAGAAACCCTGAAATGTGCTCTGTCTCTGGCCCCTTTGGTCATCTTGGGCCACCGCTGACCCCTGCGGGTCACACATTCTTGCTGGGTACCTTGCCCAGGCTACACCGCCCAGGGTCACATACACTGCACTTGCCAAAAACTGACCCTGCCCAGAACCCAACTTACAGCACTCGATGGGGTTAGATGCTATCTGCAAGGAGACGATCCTTCCGCTGGACTCTGGAATGTGCACCCGGAACACCAGCCTCACCCGTGTGTTCTTCCTCCCGATGTCCGTCTCGCCTTTCCGCAGCTCAATGTCCGCGTTCCGAAGCTTCAGGATCCCCGCACAGTCAATGCTGCCGGAAAGCCAAGAACCCCACTGACAACTGACCATCTCGGGGAGCAGGAAAGGTCACCCGCAAGGGGGGCGGGGGATTGCAATACACGGATAAATTTTTCAGCCAGGAATTTAAACCAAAATGGGGGTAAAACACAAAGTAATTAGCAAAATCCCCCAGTGGAAATCACCCCTCTAGGGAGATTCTGCAGGCTTACTTTTCTACTCTCAAAAGTACCTGAAAAACTCAAAGACGCAACTGGGAAAAATTGATTATGGACTATGCAATAGTAAGAGTAGTCATATGGACATTAAATACCTTGATTTGATAAATGTACTGTGGTCCCGTAAGAGAGCATGCTTGTTCTTAGGAAATGCATGCTTAAGCATTTAAAAGTAAAAAGGCATGAGGTCTGCAACTAACTCACAACCGGTTCAGGAAAAAATAGAGGGGGAGAAAAACAGTAATAAAGCCAATGTGGAAAATGTTAACAATTGGTAAATCTGAGCGAACCGTGTAACAGGGGTTCTTCGTACAATTCTCGCAGTTTTCATGTTTGAGATTATTCTCTAATAAAGTTTTTTAAACTCCAACACACGGGTGCAATGTTTCCCACAGTTTAGCCATATGCATATCCGCTCTGTGAGGTTAGACCTATCTGCATAGTTGTTTAATAATTTTAAGTCAAACAAATTTATAAATGTAAATAAATTTAGCCTCATCCCAAGCAACATAAACCAAAGATGCATAAGTATTCTTCCTCTCAATACACATGAAAAACATCTAGGTCTAGAACTTTGAAAATGGAGACTTTTAAAACAGAAACCTCTGTGGGTCCTTCACAAATTGGGAACCACTGTCTACGGTTGCTTCCATCAACTCCATCCTCCTCCCAAATCCCCGCCACTTGGCCCCATCACTTCCCCATGAAGACCCACTGCCCTCAGCCCCCAGCCCTTACGTTGCCCTCATGTTGTTTTTTGGCTCCAGTGGAATCTCCAGGACTTTGGTGTTGCCCACGATCTTCTCGTAGCTGGTGGTGGTGACGGTTTTCCCCGTGATCCGGTGTACCTGGTAGAAGGCATGGGGCTTAAGGATCCGCTCGTCGGCCGTCCCAATGAAGATCTGAAGCCCCAGCGGCTTGTTTTCCATGTAGCCATGGAGCTGAGGGGGAGAAAACAAAACCAAATTATTACAGCACCATTAACATACAGGGTATGGTGGCTACAGTCCAGCAAACAAAAACATCAAAGAAGCTCATGAGCAGCAGAAAGAACACAGAATTGCTGCAATGTCTAGAGCCATGGAGAATTGGAAGCAACTTGCATGTCCAGCCAGAGGGGGCTGCTTGGATAAATTATAGGGATCCTCTTTAAAATGGAATATTAAGCAGCCCTGAGAAAGACTGTGATAGATCAGAATTGCATTTATGGAGAAACAGCCAGAAACTGTGCTTAATTGGTGACCGGGGGTCAGGGGGTGGCAGTGAGAAGAGAAAATAAGTGGAAACGATAAACCAGAGCTCTTGACAATGGGTTGCCTAGAAAGAAGGAACTTTCAGTTTTTATATGACTATATTCCAATTAACAAGTTAGATTTTATCATTTTAAAAAAGAAAGAGCAAGACAAAAGTACCGTCATCTAAACTGATAGAAAATTAAAGACTGGAAGAAAATATGTATAATGTATAACATGCAAAGGATTAATGCATACAATACATAAAGAGTGCCTACAAGTGAATAAGCGAAGGACAAGATTCCTGGCCATCCTATTGAAAATCGAGTCCTACCCCCATGGCTGTCCCTAGCTCCTTTCCCTTCTTTTTAATCCCATAAAATATACTATATATTTTCTCAATTCCTTTTGCTTGGGTCTTTCTTCTACAACTAGACTATCACCTCATTGAGGGCAGGGATGTCTATTTATTTAACTTGCCACAGAATCCCTAGCATCTAGAATAATGCTTGGCACACAGTAGGCATTCTAGTACGTATCTGCTGAATGAATCAATAATGAATTTTTCAACAGAAAATTGGACAAGAGATTTGAACAGGCAATTCACAGAAAAACAAAGAAAAGCATAGAAAAGATGTTCAACTTGCCTTGTAAACAGGAAAATACAAATTAAACAACTATGAGATATCATTTTTTGCCCATTAGATGGGCACCCATGTAAATATTTGATCATATCAAATGTTTTGGAGGCTGTGAGGACACAGACACTCTCCCATAGCTGATAGGAACACAAACTGGTATAACTATTTTTGGAGTAGCAGTTATTAATATTAAAAATACATATTCCCTATGACCTAATAAATCCACTTCTCCACACTTCAGTATGGACCCCAGATGAAATGCTGTGCATGCAGGAGATATGCACAAAAATGTTTACTAACACGAAGAGAAAAATGAACAATTAGTTTCATCCATCAGGCTTATGAGTAATACATGTCCAGGCTATGAAAGACTACAACAGTTAAAAAACCAGTATGGTAAAGATCCGTGAACTTCACCCGGAAGATCTAAGACATACTATTAAAAAAGAAAAGCAATTCGTAAAAAAAAACATGGATAGCAGGATACAACTTATTTTTTTTAATGCTGAATGTTTCGATCCATTCATTTATACTCATGTAAATGCAATAGGAAAAGGTGTGGAAGGATGCGCTCCAGAGTGACCACATCATGATCACTTCTAGGGATGCAGGAGATCAAGGTTGAGAAGGTGATCAAAGAGGAATTAACTTCATCCACAAAGTTACAGGCAGAAGAGCTGCCTGGAAACTTGTGGAATTTAACATTGGTTTTGAAAATTACACATAAGAAAAGAAAAATGGATGTTGAGCTAAGAGTCAGAAGGTGGGTTCCTGTCTTGCCACTCCCCAGCTGAGAAATGCTGGGCAAATCATGTAATCCTTCTGCGCCTCTGCTCCTTCCTCTGCAAACAGGGCGGAAGCGGGGTTATGACAAGTGACAACTCACTGAGACCCCACCCTTCCACAGAGTTCTACAAAATTTCAGTAGGATCTCCAGTCAAATGCCCAGAACCAAAGGCTCCAGGGCAATAGATAATCACACATGGTCTAGAACTGCACTGCCCAGTATAGCAAGCAATACAAAAATTTAATTGAAAGGTCAGTTTCTCAGTCACACGAGCCGCACCTTCCAAGCGCTCAATGGCCACAAATGGCTGGTGCCATAATGAACGGCACAGATACAGGACGTTTCCATCATTGAGAAAAGGTCTTTCAGACGATGCTGGTCCAGAAAGATGGTGTTCTCTTGTGCCCCTCTAAACACTGGACCAAGAGGCGAGCTAAGGGTGGAGCAGAGCCAGATGGCAACCTTCTTCATAACCTGCCAGGCTGACACCTACAACATTTACATAAGCGTCTGATACACACCGGAGAGGCACCCTGGGGCAAAGGTGGAAGTGAAGTCAGTCTGTTACCTTTCTCCCCCATGCAAACTGAAGAACAGGTACTGTTCTTGAGAAAAATCAAAGGAGGAAGGGCAGCTTCGAGGACAGATTCTGTTTTTGTTGTTCTTGCTTTGCATTTGGACCCAAGATACATATCTTTCCTCACCTCCTGTCCTGGATTTATCAGGAGGTGGTAAACACAGTATCATCAGAATCAAGGAGGAGAGCAGGTAGGATAGAGAGTGACCCTAATGGTCTGAGGTTCCTTCCTCCTTCCCGGGATCTAAGAGCAGAAATTGCAGGCTGCATGTACTCAGGGTAAACAGCCAGAGAACACCTGGGGATAAAATCCGTCACATCCCAAAGGAGTCCAGCCACCTCTAGTCCCCTCCCCTGATGGTACACTAGTCCAAGCCGCTACTGCCTCTCCCTGGAGTGACCACCACTGCTCCCTAACTGACCTCTTGCTGGTCTTTAACAGAATAGCCCTCTGATCTTTAAAAAATGCAAAGCAGACCCAGACGTTCCCCTGCTTACAACCCTCCAAAGACTTCCTGTGGCCGGCGAATAAAATCCAAACTTGGTACCATGGTCTATGAGGCTTCCAACAGCCCAGCCTCTGTCTTCCAGCCCTTCCACCCCATTAGGCTCCTGCCAGCACCAGCCATCCTTCTGTTCCCTGAGCACACCAAGCTCTCTCCGACCTCAGGGCCTTTGCACAGCCATCTTCTCTGCTGGCATACTCTTCCACTGGTGCACTTAGCTCTCAGATCTTCAGGTCTTTCCCAAACCACATTAGTTACATACACCCAGTGCCGGAGCCAGCTATTCCACCCTTGCAGTTGCTTAAATTTTCAGGAATTTTAAGAGCCATTAGACATTACTTTGATCGTCTGAAATTAGCCACGATGAGAATATTTACACCACAAAAAGTGCTAAATGCTATAAATCGGGGCTTTTTCTAGAGAAGTAGATGTTAAACATTCACTGACACACCACAGGAATAGTTACTTCGTTACCATCTGGAATTTTCTTGTTAGTTGTTAATTTGCTTAGTATCTCTCTTTTCCACTTGAACAGGAAGTCCATGGTAGGAGAGAGCGTGTTTGTTTTGTTCGGTGTGATCAATAAGCATGTGGAATCAATGGTCACCAGCAACAACCGGGCAGCAGCTAAGTGTACACCGTCCCCAGGCCAAGCACCACACTCAACGTTTTACATGTATCACAACAATTCTAGGTAGGAGGGGCCCATTTTATAGATGAGAAAACTGAGGCTGGCAAAGTCCTGGCAACTTGCCCCAGTGGACACTGTTAGTACAGGGCAGGGCCAGGATGCGGACTCCGGGCCTTCAGGCTCTAAGTCCATTCCCAGCGTGCTGTCTGTGCCCTTGGCGTCTGACAGACTCACAGCTGCTCTCTGATCTACAACTACAGCTCAGAAAGTGCAGATTACGTTCTCAAAGGAAACACGAGCAAGTGCGAAATTATAAGATCAAGAGTGCTCTTCCTGCTGAACAAGAAGGGGCGGGGGCAGGGGAGGAGGAAGGGAGATGGAGGGAGCCAGAGAAACAGGCAACAGCAACCAAGACAAACAACGCTGCCCCTCAAGAGAAGAACCCACTTCTTTAAGCGGGAACTTTGTGTGTCCCGGGCTGAGCAGCCCCTAGTTGAGCTGGACTAGCTGATGCCATGTGAGCAGATGGAACCCACCTCACCCTCGTGAGCGCCCCCTCCCACGTAAGACAGGTCTCTGCTGTCAGAGGGCGTGGTAGAGCAGGAAGGAGAAAGGATTTCACGTTTGGTCAGACGTACCCAGCTCTCAGTCCAGGCCCTGCTTCTTATCAGCAGCTGTGTGACCTCAGAGCAGTGACTCCACCTCTCTGAGCCTCCATTTGCTCCTATAAAACAGGGACATCACTTCCCACTGCCCAGGGCTCTTTGAAGGCTAAAGAAGATGACCTTTATAGGGCCCCAAAGCCCAGCACACAGGAGGTACCCATGAAACGAGAATTCTCCTTGTCATCGGAGGCTGATGCAAATCAAAACACGGAGGTGATAGGACGGAACTGAATGGAGAAGTGAAGAATGAATGTGAAATACCCACGAGGTGAAAAACAACCCCAAACATCCTGACGTGTGGTGAAACCCAGGCACTCATTCCCTCGTCTCTGTGGGCAGCTGAAGAGCCCCTGACGTGGAGGGCTGGGAGGAGGGGGGTGGGGGAAGAAACCACACCGTCTAGCGTGAAAAAAACACTTCCCCTCCGATCCCCACCCTCCCCTTCCCTGAAGGTGGCAGAAGATGACCAGAGCGTGTGCATTCTGGAGGAGGCTTGCCAGCTCTCCGGAGGTTTGATAAGACCCTATGGCTATTTACTTGCCTCTCCAAAAACTGAGTGATTTGGGTCTTGCAAACAGAACCTGATGCCTTGGGATGGCATGACCTGCCCTCAAGGTCTCAAATGCCCCATTGCCCCCATTTTAGGAAGACCTGGGTCTCGAGGCCTCTTTCCAGGCCTCTTCAAAGATAAGGTCATCTCAGGAGCATGGCAAGCAGGGTGGCCTCCCAGCCATAGCAGACTCCCGCCTGCCCACCCATTGGAACCTAGAAGCTCAAGGTCAGCCAACCTCCAAAGCACAAGAGGCTCCACCTCCTGCAGCCAGGGTGAGAGCAAAAGTCTTCTGCTTTTCGCAGAAAATTTCCCAAGCAGTCTACAAGATTCCAGGAAGAAGGGGTGCTTC